GGCCTATGTCTTATCTTTCCATCCATATAAAGTAGACCTAAATTCGAGATTTACAGCTCTAGATATGATCCAATTACCGAGCAGTGTTCTGGTTTGGACTGCACCAGCATCTATTTTCTAAGTTTGGCCATCTCTTTGTCCTTTCAATTTCAGTTTTTAAACTCATTAATCAATCCTTTCATTTATGTGATAGGCCTGCATTTAAAATGAATATTTACCACAAATTAAAGATATCTTATATTATTAGATATGTTATTATAAAACATGTTTTAGTTAAGGAGTTATTGATATTTTAAATGTAAAATGATAATATAAAACCTTAATAAAAATACACTTTAAAGTACTAATCAAATATCTAATTAATAGTTAATTCATTCAGAAAAATACACTTTAAAGTACTAATCAAAATAGTTAATTCATTCATAATACTTAGAAGTCAATTTGAGTGCATTATCCAACTTATAAAATAGGCCTTGTCGTGCATCTCTGTGTTCTGTTGTCTGAAATTCATCAAGTAAACCTTAAGATGTGGGTTGGTTTCCTTTATCTACCCCAGGAAATTTATGTAATCAGATAAAGGATTCAGTGTAGTTGGCAATAATAGCGTAATGACGGATGCTACCCCTACCAATAAGCAGCAGCACTAGATTCCTATGATTGGTAAAATCTCCGGTATGTGGTTTAGCCGTCCCCACTTGTATTAATAGCAACACAGTTCCTTCTCGTTTTGTCCATTATTATTTTCTTACATCATGTGTTTCCTCTCTTAAAATGGTGCTTCCATGTAATATTGTCTTCTTTGTGGTGTTTATGCAACAATCTCTTCTAAGACCTGTCATTTTGATATTCTGAAGTTGTGTTGCATTTAGCTGCTCAATGTTAACATAGTTTCCTGCCATCGAACTTGATTTTCCTCTGATGTGTAGCTGGTTTTGGCCAAGGAAGATTTATGGTTTCATTGATCTCACCGTGTCTTGAGAAAAACTAAGGAGTGCTTGGGAACTGGGTTATTATCAAGAAGCTGTCTTATTTGGAGTTATGCATGCTTAGTATTGTGAGATTAGTTAGTTGCACGAAGTCAGAGTTCTTAATGTTCTCAATTAAAAAAAAAAGAAGCGCATTGAACATAATGGTTAAACCCTTGCTAATTTCCTCACTAACCCAAGATTGGATAGTTTTAGATTGAATGGACATAATTGGGTGCTAGAGATGGTTTTTGTTGTTGCATTTCATCTTCTTTTATCGGATGTAGGTATAAAGTAATCATTCAATACAACATTAGAGAAAGATGTTGTTAGGTTATGATCATGTACAAGGTTTTGAATGACATGGAATGAAGAGTTAGTGGGGTCATTTAAAGTACAGATCATGTCTTAGCACCATTTTCGACCTCTGTTTACATGTTAGCACAAAAACTCTAGTGATTATAATCTTTCACATTATATAGTCTCATAATGTCGAGTGTTTGCACGACTTATTCTAGGTTCCTTTTGGTGATTCAGTTTTAGTCTCTTAAATCCTTCCAATTGCTTGCTTAATACATCAGTATTGTAATTTTTTGCTTGCTTACTGGAATTTCAGTGCACGAATGGACACGCTGCTTGCTCTTCATGCTGCAGTAAACTTGCACATTTATGTCCTTCCTGCTCGTTGCCTATTGGTTATATTCATTGCCTGGCCATTGAGAAGGTCCTTGAATCAGCCAAAACATCATGCCAAAATATGAAGTATGGGTGCAAAGAAACTGTCAATTACAGCAAGAAGTGTGACCATGAGAAGAGCTGCATCTATGCAACGTGCTCCTGCCCAGTGCCAGGCTGCAGCTTTGTCAGCTCATCAAAGCAGTTATTCTCACATTTAAGCAGCATACATGTAGGTGATGTGAAACACCTTGAGTATGATTGCAAAATCCCCGTTTCCTTTACCGCGAGTAAGAAATTTGTTGTTCTCCAAGAAAAGAAAGAAGGCGTTGTATTCATCCTGAACAATGCTTTGCAAATCATGGGGAATGTGATCATGGTTAGTTGCATAGGGCCCTTATCCAAGGGAGGATACTTCTATGAACTTTCAGCAAACAGTAAAGGAAACAGTCTCATTTTTCGATCTTTTACACCTTGCTTTCGGAGCAGGGTTGATAACCCTCCTTCAGTGAGGTTCCTCCTAGTTCCAGGTGGTTTTTTTGGTTCTGGGGGGGAGGTTACCTTGGATCTCTGCATATGGCGTAAAGATGCATACTCCTCCCATCACCCAAAGCAGTAATGGTTGAGCATTAAAATAAATTGGCAAAATTATTATATTCTCCAGCGTTTTGTTGAGCCATTGGCATTGGAAAACCTTGGTGCTTCGGTTGGTAAAACGTTTGGCAGTTACTTTTTACTATAAGCTGGAACATGGCATCAAAGAGAGGGTACGAAGACTCATACGGGCTGAATCTATATGGTTGTAGAATCTAGTGCCATTCATGCATCTACTGCTGAAACTTGCTAAAGTGGTTCTAATCTTATATCTCCATGGGTTTGAAAGCTGACTCGGCATGGGTTTTGCTTTTGTTCTCTCCTTTAGCTTGTTTCTTTCTTTGTTGGGAATGTTCCATTCAACCTGCCTTTTGAAATTTCCCTTGTATGTATAATTAGTTGCGATAATCACTTTGGAATTTGGATCCTCTAGATGATCAGTAGAAGTAAGCCGTATATTCATGGCTGCTTGATCTTGGTCAGATAGTGGAGTCTGAAAGTCAGAACTGTTTTGGTTCCAGTATATTCATGGCTGCTTGATCTTGATCAGATAGTGGAGTCTGAAAGTCAGAACTGTTTTGGTTCCAGTCACTAGTCTTTTCCTAGAATGTCACTCTGTTCCAAATCCCTGTCTCATCTTGTATTTGGACAGCAGGCAAAAACGATTGATGTTTCTCCCTTTGAGTTACTGGCTTGTGGTAAGCAAGTTTGCTCTCTTGTGTTTCAAATTATGGCGCAAAGTAATTTTCTAAATAGCTTTTTGAATTAATTTTATTTAGATTTTTATTTTATTTTTAACATAACACATTAAAACTATTAGAAAATACTAAAAAATACATCAATATTTTTTTCAAGCTAAAAACACTTCAAAATATTAAGCAGAAGCATTTCCACACAGAGTGAATAGATTGTGGAAAAATACTCTCTTAATATTTGCCCTTTTGTAAATTTAAGATGTCTCAGTTTTTATTTTTATTTTTTCATTTTAAAAGTCGATATGTTATAAAGATTGAATTTTATACTATATCCTTTAGTATTTAATAAATATAAAAAATAAACTAAAATGGAAGGGTGTCCTTGAACCGTGCAGAATATTTTCCTTACACTTACCTATAGACTAGAGTAGAGTTTTTTTGTTTCTTTTACTATGATCCTTTAATTTTTTTTCTTCAATTGTGTTCTTTAATTGCAAAATTAGTAGCTAGTTGCTTCAAATTTGTTGGCTAAGAATAAAATTCAAAGATAAGGGATCAACTTAGAAAAGACGCTAGAAATAGATAATAAGTTTAAAGTTAGTGTAAAAATTATACACATTTTAGTCTCTTCAATTCTAAAATTTTACCTTTTCAATCCTATATGTTTTTTTAAATTCAATTTCGAGACACATATTTATTTTTATTATTTTTCCATCCTTGGTTTATGAAGGAAAAAGAAAGTTTCATCGAATTCCATCACAAAGAGAGAAAATCATTGTTTTTGTATTTTTTAGCTACAAAATTGGTTGATATCAGTGTAGATGGGTTCTATTCGATTAAATGAGTTTAATGGTGGTTGTCTTGAACCTCAATATTACCTAAAAAATATATTGAAATCAAGAAAAAAAATATAACGCTGTTTTATCTCGTGTTTCGAGGCTGTTTTTAGGGTTTTTTAGTTGATAAATTGATTTTTAAATGTTGTGAAGGTGTTTATAAGCTTTTTTGTTAAAATAAGATTTTTTTGGTAAAAATAGGTTTGCCTTGAAATCTGAGCAAACAAACAACACATTGTTTAATTTTTTATTTAAAAAAAAGGAGCGGATGACTTTAAAAAATCTTAACAAATATCTTTTCAATAAATTATTAACCAAGAAAGAAACTATCTTTCCAATAAATTAGGGAATTTGAATAAGATTCTTAAGTTCAATTTAATCTTTTTAATGTAAAAAAAATAAGTGTCACCCTAATTTCTTTTAAAAGATTCTGCAATATAATAATGTAAAGTCCGTTTATTTTAAAAAATTTATTTTTTTGCTAATATATATATATATATATATATATATATTCAGATTATTTTGATGTGCTAATCTGAAAAATAATTTTTTTTAAAAAAATCATTTCAATACATTTCTAAGTGAAAAATACTTTAAACCATAAACACT